ACCGAATCACGTGGGAAACGGGCGAGAGGAGTGCATGTTGGTGGATTTTGTACTTTTCTTTTTTGTTTGTTTGTTTTCCTCCTTCTTCTTGGGGTTGGGGATGGTGTCGTTTAGCCTGTTGCCCGTTTTCACTCTTTCCCCTCCTGCCCCTCCGCTGCCGTGTGATGTATGCAGCCTCCCGTTTGTGTGTTTTCGGTAATGAGCCGACTCGTCCTTTCCTTCTGCTTCTGCGCATGTGTTTGTGTGTGTGTGTGTGTCTGCGTGAACTCCTGTTTTGTTTCTCCCTCTCTTTCTCTCCGCCGCGGGCACGTGCGAGAGTGTACGCCGCAAGAAGAGGAAGGGGTCGCCGCACCGTTTCGTGGCGCCCATGTTTTCTTCGCCGCGCCTGGCGCACGCGGCGGTGGCGGCGGCAGCAGCGGGCCTTCACACCGGGCCGCCTGTCTGCGTCTGCACCGCCGCCCGCCGCTGCTACCGAACGGGCCTCTTCCGCGACGCACTCGCGCAGCAGCGAGCCGCAGCCGCAGGCCTCTCTCCCACCGCCGCCGGGGGGGAGCCGCCATCGGTAGCCTCCGTGCTGGATGCAGCCGCCCTCGCCACGTCGCTAGACGATGCCGCGCATGCGCCGGCGGCGGAGGAGACGGCGCCAGCGTCATCACCCGCAGCGACGCGGCGAGTGTCACTTGTGAGTGGCTGTGTGCTTGACACGCAAGAGCTGGCGGCGGCGGTTGCGGAGGAGGCGCTGCACGACGAGTGTGAGGTTCTGCTGCTGCCAGAGCACCCAAAGCAGGAGCGCGGCCAAGACGAGCGCGGCGCATGCGGTGGGCGGGTGATTGCCACTGCGACGCCGGCGGACGCCGGTTGGGTGGCCGCAATGAACTCCCCTGGTAGCTACCTTTCTCAGCAGGACGCCCTTTACTTGTCGGCGCCCACCCCACTGGAGGCGCGGCTGCCGGTGGCCGCCACACCGGCTCTGTCGGCGTGCGTCATGGTCGTTTTTGCCGCGAATGACATGCGGGTGCACGACAACTACACGCTGGCGCTGGCCGCCGTGCGGGCGGAGGCGGCGGGCGGCCTGCCGATTGTCGCCGTCGCCGTCGTTGACTACCGCGCCTTTGCGCAGCCGAGCGCTGTTGGGGCCTACTTTCGGCAGAGTCCGATGCGGGCGCGGTTTTTCCTCGAGACCCTCGCGAAGCTGCGGACGACGCTGGAGGAGGAGCTGCACGTGCCGCTGCTTATTCGCACGGGGCGGCCCGAGGAGCACGTCCCGCGCCTCGCCGTGGAGTGCGGTGCGACAGACGTGTTTCTCACGACGCAGTACGCCCCGCATGAGAAGCACGTGCACGACGCCATCATGGCCGCGGTGAGAGGACGCCGGTGGGTCAGCCGCGACGCCGCGACGGGCCTGCGGCCAATGCGGCATGACGCGGCCGTGCGCCACCCGTACGACAACCCCGAGGAGAAACATGCGGCGGGGGCCCCGGCGGTGGTCTCGCCTGTCCCGCACAGCGTCTGGCAGACGACGCTGGTGCACATCGACGACCTGCCCGTGCCGGTGGCTGCCATGGCCGAGGGGGAGCGCTGGTACCACGACGATGTGACCGTCGCGAGCATTCGCCCGACGAATCCGTACGACCGCCACACGGCGCGGCTCTCGTCGCTGCCGACGCGGCACGAGCTGCTCCCCTCCGCGGCGGAGCAAAGTGGGCTGGCGTGCCCGCCGCCGTACCGCGGCGGCATTCCAAGTCTGGAGCAACTCGGCTACGGCAACCCCGAGGCCTTTGCGGTGGAGGACGTCATCGCGACGCAGTCCTCGCACCCGCCCGGAGAGGCGGCGGCGCTTGAGCGCGTGGAGGATTGGCTCGCGGGCGGAGGGGTGACCTCGCTCCTGCGTTACGGCCGCGTGCATCGGACGAATGTGAAGATGTACTCGCAACGCCTCTCGCGGGTGTCGCCGTACCTCTCAAACGGGTCCCTCTCACCGCGACGCTTCTACGAGATGCTGCGGAGCTACGCCAGCGAAAATGTGCGGGATAGTTTTGTGCAGATGCAATACCGTGAGGCGCTGCTCCGGCTGAGCCGGCGCGACTACTGGCACTGGATGGGCCTACGATACGGCCCGCAGCTTTTCTTCCCGTACGGCCCACGACCTGAGCACACCGACAACATCCCAGACTGGCGTCATGACGAAAAAATTGTGCAGAAGTGGTGCGCAGGACTCACGGGGGTGCCGTTTGCAGACGCGGCAATGCGGGAGCTGCTGACGACGGGCTTTGTCGCCCACGAGGGACGGCAGGCGTTGGCCTGGTTGCTGACGCGCGGCTACGGCCAGGACTGGCGCCTGGGGGCGGAGTGGATGGAACGCTGCTCACTTGACTACGACCCGTTTCTCTGCTACGGCAACTTTGCCTACTTTAGCGAGCTGCTCTCGGACGACTTTGGCGAGCCCGTGCGCAGCATTCACTGGCTCGCCCACCACCACGATCAGTCGGGCATCTACGTTAAGAAGTGGCTGCCGCTGCTGAGTAAGATTCCGCCTGTATACATTCATAGGCCGCACGTTCTTACGCCGCGGATGCAGGCCATGCACGGTGTGAGGCTGGGGAAGACCTACCCCTACCCGCTGAAGCTGTGGGACGGTGCGCAGTACGTGCTGGGCAGCGAAGAGCTCACCACGTACTTCGCCTCCTCGAGTGCGTGGCAGCAGAAGGCAAAGAATGGCGCCGGCGGCCCCGGCTACGTGGAGGCCCTGCGCCACGGCCAGGCGATCATGCGGGTGGAGGAGTGGGGCGTCGCCGCCTCGCCGGAGGAGGTCTTGCAGCGTCCATGGGCGCATCACCTCCCTGCATCTGCCTTTGAGAGCTGTGACGACGAGGCGCAGCCTCTGCACGTGGCGCGGAAGGAACAAACGCAGGCGACACGACAGCAGCAGGCATCTCTGGCCTAACTCCATTTATTTCAGGAGCACTACGTCTTGGCAAATGTAACTGTGTGTCTCTGTCTGTGTGTGTGTGTGTGAAGCCACGTAGAACGTTTATTGCTGTTGCTGTTGGTTTCACGGCGTTGGATAATTTTGACGGGAAGTTTACATCCTCAGCCTTATGCTGATTCTCATCATTGCTATATGCACGATTTCGTCGTTACGGACATGAGTACATCACGGCATGCATACGCCTTGCTTCCGCTCTCCTTTGTTGCTGCTGTTTACTTGTTTCCTCCTGCTTTTTTTCTTTTATTTTGCTTTTTTTCCCGCTGGCTGCGCACCCCTTGCCCAGTCTCCCCCGCCCACGAGGCACACACCACACAAGTGAGTAGCCGCAACTCCGCAGGCGTGGTCGTTTTTTTTGTTTGTTTTTGTTTTCTTTTTTGCGCCATGCCGTACCCTTATGTCCTGCAGTGCCGCGAGAGCGCCCCGGCGGACGTCGTCGTCAAGTACGACGCGGCCGTCACGGCCGGGGGCGACGTCACGAGCGTCCTCTCCTCGTGCTCCAAGCATGGGGGCCACAACATCTTCCTGGCGGCGTGCGACGGCGACGTCCCGGCGCTGCGGATGTTTCTTGCGACCGGCGTGGACATCAATAGCATGGGGCAACCCAAACCGCAGTACGGCCCCCAGTTTGACCGCCGCACGCTCTTTCGAGCCCCGCCGCTCTGCTACGCGGCGGGCTACGGCCGCGAGAAGGCCGTAGCGGCGCTCCTGGAGGACGGCGCGGACGCCCTGAAGACGTCATCGACGGGGTTTAAGGCAGTAGACTACGCCAGGCACCGTGGGTACGCGGCCATTGTGGAGATGCTGGAGGCCGCAGAAAAGCGGCAGCACCCGGGCGAGCCAGCGGACACGGAGTGAGCGCGCCACCTGGCGGCCTCTCTCTTCCTTCTTCCCCCTGGTGATTGATGTATACATTTTGTCACTCACCCCCCCTTGACTCCGTCTACGGGGCGACGGTGCATGTACACTATCCTCCTTTTTCGGTATATATATATTTCCCACACCCACACGGACGCGTGGAAAAAGCACCGTTGATGCACTTTTTATGGCACTTCCCCTCTTTTTTCTCCGATAGAGAAGCCTGTGGGGGTGCTACTGCCTCGGCGCCCGACACCCCTGCGTCTCCTTTGTTTGCCCCCGCCCAGTTGAGTAGGTTTTTTTTTTTGCGTGGGGTCGAGTTTTTGTTTGCCGGCTTTTCCGACGTTGTCGTCTTGGGCCTTCAGGGGGGCAGGGGCGCGCGTACGCCGCATCTCTCTTTTCTCCCCTCCTTGTCTTTTCCCGCGAAGGTGTTTCTCTGGTATCTGTTGCGGCGGCTGCGGCGGCGGCAAATGGAGGGGAACTTTTACATCTCCGGCAGCGTCATCAAGCGGGAGCTGCGCTCGAACTACGGCAGGCTCTACGCCAAGTGCCGCGAGGAGGCGGCGGCGTACGGCAGGTGCATTGAGGCCGGCCAAGTCAACCGCAACTTGGCGCAGGGGCTGTGCGGTGAGGAGCGGCGGGCACTACGCGCCTGCGTGGACGCGCAGGGTGCGGCGCTGAAGCAGCAGCACCAGCAGGCGACGCGGCAGTAGACCCCGCGAGCAAAATAAAATGAAAAGGAAGCGCACATTTGACGCAGTTGCCGCTGCTAATACATTTTTTTTTTGTGTGTGTGTAGTAGCAGCGAGCACGCACCGGCCTACACGCAATCAAAAGGGAACACGCAAAGGAGGAAGCTGGAGGATTCAGTCACCGCACGGCGGCTGGTGGACAAAACGACAAAAAAAAACATGGGGGATGATTGAGGGAGAAGCGGAGCCTTTTGCAGCACAACACCGAAGACGGGAGATGGAGGCGCACATTTGTAAGACCCGCTGCGCCCGGCTCCCCTTGTCCTTTTTTTCATTTTTATTTTTTTATTACTTTGTCTACCTGCTATCCCTCCATTTTGTTTTTCTTTTTCTCTTCTCTGGGGAGGGGGGGAGAGGACAGGGAAGGCGGTGTTTGTCGCCGCCACAAGAGCAAGCCGCGGCGCTGAGGAAGCCAGTCTTGCGTGCCTTTGCTCGCGGGGGTGGGGGGTTCGTTGGGCCCGCCTCCCCCTTCATGTCAGCAGCAGCGCGGTGGCAGTCGATGCGCCGCATCCGCGGCGTCCCGTCGTTGTTCTCGTGCGCAGCAGGCAGCCCGCGTGGGGGTGGCGTGCGCGCCTTCGGTTACTCGCCCTTCGCCAGCGTCCGCAAGCCTCCCAAAGGGCGGAACGGGCCGCATGCATCAGTCGTCCCCAACAACACCAGCAGCACCAGCAGTAGTAATAATGCCGCTGGGAGTGGTCTGGGGCGCGCCCGCCCAACGAAGCCGGCGTCGCAGCGTCTGCAGGAGGCGAAGCGCATGTTTCCCGAGACGCTGAAGAGCGGTCGCTACAAGGAGGAGAACACAAGGGCGCAGCGGCTCTACGAGGGCCCTGCGTCGGCGGGCAACCTGGGCCCGGATAGGCGCTTCTACCGCAAGGTTGAGGACTACCGCGAGGTGCAGGATGACGACCCGTATGCCGGTATCTTTGGCGAAAGCGTGGGGGTCAAGCGGCGGCGGGTGAAGGAGTGGCAGCGGCAGTTCGAGGAGGAAAACTCAACGGTGGAGTTGCCGTACGAGCGCACAAACGTCCTTGCACGACTCGCGCCAAATTGGTTTGTGCGGTACTTTGTGAACATGCGGGACAGGGGGGGCGTGGACCACGCCGGGTTTTTGTGCGCCTGCGCCTTCGTCACCTCGGGGCTGCTGTGGCTTGTCGGGTACCTGTTCTACACCCCACCGAGCCAGGCAAGGCCCCTCGCGGAGCTGCGGTGACGAGAGGCGTTAGACGTCAGCAGCGAACACGCGGCCGAGGTGGTTGCTGTCTCGCACTGGACCCCACCGCCGATCCCACGCGTGCTTGTCTGCATTCATTGTCTTCATTTCTGCGGGTTGCGTGGTGCCCTGACGTCTCTGCCCTCACACTATTTTGTTGCTTCTGCTCAGCTGCCTCCCACCGCCATCGACAACCGCAGGGGTTTTGCTTCCTTCTCTTCCCTCTTTTTTTGTTTGTTTGTTTGTTTTGCGTGCATGCCTCCTCCCACAGCACCCCGTCCGTGTCTCTCTCCCTGCTCCGTGTGTGTGGTGCGGGGGTGGGGGAGAGGAAAAATAGAAAGAAGCAACGAAAGAAAGAAAAAACCGGGGAGGAAGCGTGACAAGCAAAAGTGCGGGGCGCGTGTGCGTGTTTGTGCAGGCCACTCCCTCCCACCCTCCCTCTCGCTCTCTGGTAGATGCCGAGCAACTACGCGCTGGCGAGTCAATGTCAACTCCAGCGGGATGAGTTGCATGAGCTGCTCGCCCTCTCCGCGTCGGCAGCAGGCGCCGGCGCGGATGGCGGCGGCGCGGGGGCACCGGCGTGCGACAAACTGCCCCTCTGGCGCCTGCTGCTCACCGAGGCTCACGTGCGCTCGCTGCTGGTGCACGCCCTGGTGCGTGTGTCGGTGCCAAAGAGCAGGCAGCAGCAGCTGATTCAGGGGAACAAATACGTGCAGGCCGGCCTGCAGGCGACAGGCGCCACGGCAGGGCAGCAGCATCATTACCGCGTTGGAAAAGTAGTGGCGCTCGTCCCGCGCCCCAGGGCCGCGTCGGATGGGCCGCAGACAAAGGCAGACGCCTCCCCGGCCGCCTCGCTTCTCTCGGAGTGGCTGCTGGGCCTCGATTTTGGCGAGGCAACCGAGTTGGTGGGGGCCAAGTACGTCTCAAACGAGCCCTTCTCGGCCGAGGAGCACGCCGTCTTTGTGCGCTCCTGCCTGTCAACACGCATAGGCACCGCAGCAGCGGCGCCCGCGCTCATGACAGCCGCAGAGGCGGACGTCGTTGTCCGCAACCTGCACGACATTCGCCAGTACGTCGCAGCCGTGGTCGCTGCACGTGGCGGCAAGGCGGCGGCGACGGCGACGGTAGTTGCGGGTGTTGGAGCTCGCAAGCGCCCACGTGACGGCGCGGACATCGGTGACGGCAGCAGTAATAATAATAATAATAACAATGAGCCCGACTTTGACGCGGAGGCGGAGTTGCTCTCCCGCGAGCAGCTGCTGGTGGAGCGGGCGCGGCACCGCGAGGAGCGTCGCCGGTGGGAATCCCTTCGCGACGAGCAGCAGCGGCACTTGAGTGGCCTGCGCCAGCTGCTGAACAGCAAGAATGGGGAGATTCAGCGGGTGCTACACGCCCAGCGGCAGGCGGAGGCGGAGCACAGGACGGAGCTGGAACAGTGGCGGGGGAAGACGGAGGAACAGGGGCAGGCGATGCGGCGAATCGAGCGGGAGCTCGCCGAGGAGCGGGAAGTGCAAAAGGAGCACCGCGAGAAGACCGAAAGGTTGGTCGCGCAGCTCAAGAAGCTTGCGGAGCAGACGCGGAAGTTTAAGGAGGTCTCCGACGCGGTGGCGGAATGGCTGCGGCTGGGCACCAAACAGCCAGAGGAGGTGCTGGCCTCCTTGAAGCGAAAGCTGGCGGAGTCGCAGATGTGAGAGAAAGGGAGATGGACGGAGGATTGTTCTTGTTTGTTTGTTTGTTTGTTTGTTTGTTTTTGGCGTTTATTAGCTACTCTTGCGGCTGCCGTGTTTGGCGCCCGCGCGGCGTGGAGGTGGGCCTTTGCCTCCGGCGACGCCGACGGCATCCTCTCTGCTGCTGACGCCGTTGCCATTAATGTTTGTTAGTTACTTTTTCTCCGCCTGCTTCTCTCCGCGTGCGTCCTTCCCTCCCACCAGCACAGACCTGCCGGGGGGGGAAAGTCTCGTGGCGGCAGCCGCGGCGCCATGGCGGAGCGGGCAGCCGTTATTTTCCTCTTCGCCCAGGAGAAGCTGCTCTTCCGCTACCCGATACGCAACCCCTTCAGCATCAACGCCGGCGGCGGCCCTGCGGGGGGGCGGGGGACGTCACCCGCGGTCCCAGCGGACACCACCGCCGCCGCCGCCGCCGCGGCGAAAACAACAGAGGCGTCGCCGCAGCAACAGCCGCAGGGAGAGCAGGAGCTGCAAAAACAACCGCCCCCTACTGCCGCGCCGGCTGGGGTGGGGGTGCGACGAAAGCGCCGCAACACAAAGCGCTCACACCCAACCCCCGCGCCGGCAGCAGGCGACTCCAAGCAGCTCTCCGACGCCGACGGCCATGAGGCGGCGAAGGCGTCGCACTCGGCGACCCACGCGGCATCGCGTGCCGGCCACAGGTGGAGCAGCAGCAAGAGGGGCAGTCACGGTGAGGCAAGGGAAGACGATGATACCTGCGTGGGGGTGCAAACAACGGTCCTTGTCCACCTGCTGCGTGGGAGATTCTCGAGCTGCACAACAATTCAGTTCGCCGGGGGAACGTTTCTCATTTACCCGCTGCTTCCTAGCAACGTCAAGGGTCAGAGGCTCGAAGCCGACGAGCCGATGCGCCCCCGCAACCGTGCCGCAGACGACGGCCCCGTCGACGTGGCCCGCAGTGACGCCGAAGACGACAACAACGAGGACGAGGAAATTGGAAAAGAGGGAGGCGAGGAGGAGGAAGAAGAGGAAGAGAAAAAAGGGAGGCGGGCGAAGCTCAATAACCAGCCGGCCGCCGCTTCGCACGGGGTTGCGCTGGTTGTCGCCATGAATCAACCGGACCGGGGGGACGGCGCCATTGCGAACCTGGTGCAGGTGTTTATGAATGTGCTGGTGCGAGAGGAGCTGCGCTCGCGCTACGCCACAGAACAGGTGCTGCGGATGGAGCGGCGCATGCAGGCGTGGGAGATGAGCGGCGACGACGGTGACCTCGCCAAGCACGACGCCCCGCCTTGCCACGGTCGTGGCGGAAGAAAACGCCTGTCTGCGTCGGAGAGGTTTGCAGGGCTGTTGAAGGACGCGGAGCTTTCGCTCTGTCGCGAGATTTCCCTCCTCGCGCAGCACATCGCCGCCGTCAAAGACAACGGCAAGACGAACGATGCTGTGGTGCCTCCAAAGTCCTATCCAGCTTTTGGATCACCTCCGCCCCATCGCGGCGGTGTTGGAAACAGCAGCAGCAGCAGCGCCAGCAGCGGCAACAACAACAACAACAAGCAAAGGAATACAATTATTAGTGGTGGCGGCAACGCAAACGCTGGCTGTGGCGCCGGCGTGGCTCAAAGTGTGGGCAGGGTGACGGAACTTGTGGTTCGTGGACTATTTACTCTGCCCGTGGCATCCATCCTGGGGCAGCGCAGGCCCGCACCGTGCCACGCGCCTGCCTACGTGAAGCAAAATCCAAATCACCTTGTGACACTAGAAGATCCCTATTTTGTCGAACGTCTGGCAAAACCGTACGCTGAGGCTGTTGGCTGGCGGGCGTCACAGTTGCTGCCGCTGAGCAGCATATTCGCCGCCCTTGGCTCACTCCCCCGGCCATGGCGCATGGGCGGGTTGTACCGCGCCCTGGAACGGTGCTTGGCAAGTGCCCTCCACCAGCGTCAGACGGTGAAGCAGCAGCAGCAGCAGCAGCAAATGAAATTACCGACTGGAGGCAGCAGTACGGCCCGCTTTGGGTGGATGCGCACGGAGGAGAGCTTTAGCCAAGAGGGTGGCGGCGTCAACGCCCTTTCCCTGGAGGATCAAAGCTCCAGGTTGGACGGTGATGTTCTCATCGTAGAGGCGGTGGAGTTTCTGCGCTTGAGTGGGGCGCTGGCGGTAGACGACGAGATAACTGTGCTCTTCACGCATGGTGACCTCTTTCATGAGGCAGGTACGCCGCACCTCTCTCGCCAGAAGAAGGGGGGCGCCGATGCCGCCTGTCCATTATGCCCCCCGATGCTTGCGGTAACAAAAGTGTTCTCCCAGCAGGATGAGGCGCACCCAAAGTTGAGGCAGCCGCCGGTGGCCCCTGCGTCCATGGTAGGATTATTGGTCTTCGAGGGAATGCGGTCGTCAAGTGGCACCTCACTAGGCGGTTACGGCGGTGGATTGCGAACCCCGTTCTTTAGCGCAGACGAGGTGGCTGACACGCCGGCATCCGTGCCCGTGGTGGCGCTGAAGACCTCTGCGCCGTCAACGCCGTCGTCGCCCCCAGTGTTTTCTTTGCCTAGCACCGGTGGGGCTGACGCTCCCCAGTTGGAGGTGTACTGTGCCTGGGGAAATGCGTGCCCCATATGCGAGGAGTTGGCCTCCGCCCCGCACGCTTGGCGTGTGGGCAACTCGCCGATTCGCTTGTCGTTTCCGTTTCTCGCCCCTGCCATTGCGGAGGCCGCGGCATGGCGTGGCCGGCATGGCGCCCGCCCCATCGACCCCGAGTGCTGTCGCCTGATGGCCGACCAACGGCCGTGGTTCACACGCGCCAAGGCGTTTGCGGCGCCGGCGGCCCAGCCGGAGGCGACTCCGGTGCAAATGTACCGCCACCTCACGCGCGGCTGCGGGGACGCGGCGGCGCAAAAAGCGCAGGACGCCGTGAAGGCAAGCAGCGGCTACTCGTCAGTTTGCCGCACGGAGTCCGGGGGGTGCACAAAACAGAATATTCCAACGAAAGATGAGAAGTGCACGGCCATCACGCCTGGAAGCACACCGGTGGCGGTGCGGGAGTGGTTGGCAGAGAATCGCGGCGCGATCGAGGGCCGCCTCGCGGACGCGCTGAAGCAGCGGCAGTTATTGGAGGAAAACGCCAAGCAGCTGGCGGAGCAGCGCGCTGCGGCGGCGACGGCAGCGGTGGAAGCGGCAACAGCAGCGGCTTGCTCGAATGCGGGTGGCGGCCACAGTCAACAGCGCCATTTTCCATTGGCGAGTCAACGGTACCACAAGCGGGTTTTTTTCTCCCCGACCTCCATTCCTGGCTTCACCGGCGAACTCCTTCCGCTCTCCCCATCCTCCCTCACCCCCTCCCATGCCTCGTCCTCCTCGCTGCGCCCTCACCATGTAGGTTGGGATGGCCAGCCTCTTCCTGTGACACGTCTGGTCGGTGCTGAACGCGTCGTTCCATTTGAGGCTCTCATGCAGTTTGTCTTGCACCACACGGTGGCACTACTTTGGGGAAAACCGGGCATCGGAGTGGAGACGTTGCTGTACTTGCTGGAGTGCAACCTTCGCCGCCTAAGGCCCTTCTTGACACACTACGCCTATCTGCACCAACTGTCGGCCGCCGCAGGGCCCAATTGCGCCACGGCCGTTCTCAGTGCTACCGCGTCGTGCTCCTCGGAGCAGGCGGTGAGGTCTGCCTCTCCACGGTCTGTGCCGAACTCCTGCAACGCAGTCCTGGGACGTAGGTCATGCCCTCCAACTCCTTCCACGCAGGAAAAGGAGGAGAGGAGGCAACAAAAAAGGGAGGGTGTAGAAGCATTATCGAGCTTGGAGCAACAACTGTTGGAGGCATACACCGTGTTCACGGAGCTCTCTCTTATGGATTTGCTGCGGCAGTTGCATGGGATGACGGTTGAGGTGGTGCCGACGCGCCTGCTGCTGCACGCCGTTGTGAATGCCTTTGCGGATGTTCTGCTCATAGGGGGAGGGAATGGTGGCAGTGCCGGTGGTGACTAATGCTGCCGCCGTTGCTGCTGTTTTGGCCTTACAGTCTTTTCGTGATTATCCCTAGTACTCCTCTATTTACTTCAAAATAAAAAAAATGCCAATATTCTCATGCGTCACGGTTGCTGCGTCTCTTGGCGCTCACTGTCCTTCTTGGTGCGGCTGCGTTCCCTTCATCTTCTCCTTGTTCCTCCTCTGCGTCTCGGTGTGAGTAGTTTTTAGGTAAATTCGTCTCCCTACCTCTGGGCTTTGCGGCTCCGCAGGGGAGTCGCTGGGAAAGGAAGGGGCCGGGGCGCATCAGCCACGCGGCGGGGGAGGGGCGTGGAAAAGGCAAAGGGTGGGGTGAGGGCCGCGCACTAACAACGGAGCTGCCGAGAGGCCCCGGCCAGCACAAAAGGCACCTCGCACACCCCACCACAGCACTCACCCACTCACTTTTTCTGCTGTTGTTTGCTTATTTATTTTTTTTGCCCAACATCCCACGGCGTGGGAAGCGGAAGGAAGAACATCCTCTCTCTCCGAACGAATACAAGAGGGGAGGAGCGGAGGCGGCAAGAGCTACGTACAAATATATATATATATATATATATATATATATATAATTGTTATTGGTAGTAGTGCAGGTTTCTTATATACGCAAACAGTGGGAAGTATGGATCCCGCTACGGGCGAGGCGGTGCTTGGCGGCGTCTGCATCGGAATGTGGTTGTTGGTCACTGTCGTCTGCTGCTCCCGCGCTCCCTTGCTGCTGGAGGGCAGCCATCATCCTCTTGCGTCGCCGCTGGTAGCGATAAAGGTCGCCATTGTTGTTCTGCTTGCCCTCTGGGCGTTCTGTTACGCGGGGCTGGGCGAGTTTGATTTGCTCTTTCCAGATGCACACTGGCGTATTCTGCCGGCCTGCCTTTTTTACTTGCTCGTGCTGCAATTCCTGCGCCCAATAGCGGTGCTTCTCTTCTGCGTCGTCATCTCCACCCCGGCGTCATTTTCGCAGGGTGTGGTGTCTGGTCGTGCAAACCAAGAAGCCTCCTTACCCAACCGACGGGCTGATTCTGTGGCGACGTTGCCGGTGGATGCGGCGGGAAAGTTCCCTGTGTTGTACCTGCGCCGCGAGGGGTTAGTTGGCGCTGATTTTCAGGGGGCGTGCTCGGCGGCCGAGGAAGTGGGTTCCGAAGGGCAGGCGCAGAACCGGTGTGGCGTGGCTGGGAGATTCACACACGGGGCAGCTCCGTGCTGTGCGTCCGTGGCAAATACGGAGGAGCTGGACCTTAAGGGTCTCGCCGACACCCCACTTTCGACGATCCGCGGCGGCATTCGTCACGCGCAGCTTAATCATATGATTCACGCGGCAAATGTACTCGGCGGCGTCGACGGAAGCGACGGCGCGATGCGGCCGCTGCCGGGGGGCTGGGAGCCGCCTCCGTTGGAGGACCCCGTGGGCGCGGAGTCGCGGCAGGAGAGTAATAGAAGTGAGCTCCTACCTGGCTCGGCGAATGATGCGGCGCGGGCGCCAGAGGAAAGTTTTGGGGGTTACAACCTCTACGGTGAGGAGTGCGGCGTCGGCGCTTCGCACCCCAGGCGGAGCTGTTGTTTCATCCCAGCTACTGTCGGCTACTGGATTATTGGTCGCGTGCCGCCTGAGGATGTCGCGGGGCTGCGGGAGAGCCCAACGGAGCGGTGGTCGCGTCTCTTGCTGTGGCGCATCGCCCTGCGCATGCAGTCGCTGATTCTTGTGTGGTTGCTGTCCATTTGCCTGAGCTGCGTCTTTGTCTCGTTTGCGCTGACGGAGGAGGTGCGCAGTTGCATGGAGCGCACCTCAGAGACGGCTGTGTGTCGCGCCCCTGGCATGGAGGCCCTCTCCCCGCCACGGCTGCACCTCCCGCGCTCCCTCAGTATCATAGGACTTATAGACAACGCCCTGCTGCTCCTGCTGTGGGTCATCTGCGGCGTGGAGTGTCTCGGTCACATTGGCAATGCCATGACAAAGCAGAGCTTCGTACGCACCTACATTGTGGGGGCGTTGCTGCTGATGTTGCACACGATATATGACTCCGTGGAGTTGTTTGACGAGCTCCGGTACAATGGACTGGTGACCGTGGCGATATTCATGCTGAGGAACGTGTGCGACGCCATCCTGGCCACCCTGCTTGCGCTGCGCCTGGGCAGCGGCAACAACCGGATGCCGCGGTGGTACCTTTTTCTCGAGTTGCTGTGGCAGAAGGCGGCCGAGAGCAAGCTGTGGAGGCCCGTAGAATAGGCCGCGTAGGGGGCACACGAACAAAGCATGGGGGGCGGAGGCGGCGACGGGCAATGCATCGGGCGGTGAAGGGTTTATGCGGGAGTCGAGGCGGCAGCACGCCATTGCGCTCTGCGTGAAGAAGGGAGGAAAAGAGACGCCCTCGCTCCCAGTATTCCTGTAAAGCTGTATGCTCTCGTATATATTATGTATATTATATATATATATATATAATGTATCTGTGTGTGTGTGTGTGCATGTCGTTTGCGTGAATGGTGAGTTGCACGATCGAAGGGAAAAGAAGCCACTGAAGCCAACCGGACGTCACGTGGCGCACGCGCCGACCCATGCGTTCATTCCGTGCAATCACACACATACACTTGTAATACTTGTGACTGCTGTGAGCGGGCGAGAAACACCACGAGAATGTGTGGTAATCACAAGGGTAAGTAGTACCAAAGCGAGTCCGCTCCTGTGTCTACAGTGTGGCGGAGTGGAGTATTGGATGGTTCTAGAGGATGACGGAAAAAATACGCAAAAAAAAAGGAAAAGGAAAGAACCGCGACTATCCTTTTTGGATGTGCGTCCGTGCGATACTTGCACTACCCCCTGGTCCTCAAGAAGACGCGCTGCTAGAGGAAAAACGAAGGGGCAAAAAGAATACCCCTATTTTTTTTTATTATATATATAGCTTTCTTTTCCCTTTTATTCACTGGGGTTCTTTTATGAATTTTTTTTTGTTTTTGCTTTGTGGTTGTTGGGGCCTGTAAATATTCCGCCTTAATCAACGAAGCTGCGTTGGGGAGGTGGGGAGGGGCAATTGATGGGGTGTTGCTTCTTTGCGTGGCGTGCGGGCGGCGCAGGTGCTCCCCTGCCCGCTAGCCCCCTCCCCTAATTTTTACCGGGGCGGACAACCGAGTGCGCCGTGTGCGTGGGCCATGAGTTGAGCGCTGCGCAAGACGGTTGGCCGCGAGGCGGCGGCGTGGAAAGAGGCAGAGGTGTGCAGCGTGGAACCCACCAGCGTGTAAGCGGCGCGTTTGGTTCTAAAAGGGAAGGTGGCAACGCCACGAAGTTTTGGCGGTGGGTCTCAGTAACTCCGTTCTCGTTGCTGGCTGCCGTAAGGGAATTCATGCACCTCTTCTTGCTTGCTTGTCTTGCTTGGCGATTTGTGTGTATGTATTTTGTTTTGTTTTTTTTGTTGATGCTGTTGTTGTTGTTTTTCTTTTTATGCATCCCACATTCTGTGCCCGCTGTGTTGCGTGCCTGGCTGCGACACAACGTTCACGTGTGTTTTTTTTGTTGTTGTTGTTGTTTAAATCTGTCTTGTTGCGTTGCTTTTGTACCCCGACATCTCTCTTTCTCTCTTTCTCTCTGTGTGTGTGTGTGCGGGTGTGTGTCTTGCTTGCCTCCCCGTGTCTACCGCCGCCTGATGCCTCTCCACGTGGGAATGCTGCGAAAAGGGGCGGGCGGTGGGGAGGCAAAGCGGACGTAGAGGCATTTGCACCGCTCCTGCAGAGGCAGGACGCGGTTTCTTCTATTCGCTTGTTTGCTTCTCTGTTGGCTTTGCTGCTGCCGCTGTAGTGTGGAGGCCTCTGGGAGGAGTGCGCCACAACGTGCGAGCAACAAACTGTGCGTGTAACTTTTTTTTGTCTTTTGTGTGTGTGTGTGTGTGTGCTCTCTCTCTCTCTCTATCCTTTTTTTTTTCCAGCGTGTGCGTGTGTTTCTGCCGCCGCTTCCTCCTTCTTCTTGCTGCTTTGTTTTGTTTTCTGTTCTGTTCTGTTGTTGTTGTTTTTGCTGCGTGCCGACTGTTTCGGGTGGCGTCTGCCCGGGGGGGGCGCGCGCGAGCAGCTTCTCTCCCGCTTCTTCCTCTCTGTCCTCTGCCTTGGGCCGCCGCGGGGCGACGGCGACGCGCAGGAGGGAAAAAAGCAAAGAAAAGGGAAAAAGCAGGAGCGTCGCGAGGGGCGGCCGCAGCGTCTGGTAGAGCACTAAAAAAAGTAGACCCACGAGAAGCGAAGGGAGCGGCACACACCCCGCCACGCCCGCCCACCCCGCACGCCGCCAGCTTAGACTCCCGCAGCGGCGGCACCCTGACGGTCGCTTGGCCCGGCTGGACTCTGCGCCCGCTCTCGCGCGCCGCTACGCTTCGAGGGCACACGCCTCTCGGCACACACACACACACACAGAGAGAGAGAGAGAAAGAGAGAGCACGAGGGGAAGGGCTTGTGCTTTAGCCTGCTCCCGCTGCGGTTACCGAGATGGAGAATGTGACGTCCAACGTTGGCCCCATTCGCGCCGGGATCCAGCAGTACACCGTCGGCCAGGCGAATGTGGCGTCCGGCAACGGCGCCAAGGGGCTCAACAGCGCCCGCTCAAACATGACGACAAGCCACTCCACAAACAGCGCCCGCCGCTCCGGCAGCAAGCGGGACCGCGAGACCGCCGCCGCCACCGACGTCGGCTACCCGAAGCAGAACAATAAGGCGACCGTCGCCACCGTTGGAGGGACAAACACCGTAGTAGAAGTACAGCCACCCGCAAAGAAGAAGAAGGTGACGTACGCCCTCCCGAATCAGAGCCGCGAGGAGGGCCACTTCTACGTGGTGCTCGGCGAGGACATTGACGTCTCGACGCAGCGCTTCAAGATCCTCTCGATGCTGGGCGAGGGCACCTTCGGCAAGGTGGTGGAGGCGTGGGACCGCAAGCGCAAGGAGTACTGCGCGGTGAAGATTGTGCGCAACGTGCCCAAGTACACGCGGGACGCGAAGATCGAGATTCAGTTCATGGAGAAGGTGCGCCAGTCGGACGCCGCCGACCGGTACTCCCTGATGAAGATCCAGCGCTACTTCCAGAACGAGACCGGCCACATGTGCATCGTGATGCCAAAGTATGGGCCGTGCCTGCTGGACTGGATCATGAAGCACGGCCCCTTCGGCCACCGCCACCTGGCGCAGGTCATATTCCAGGCGGGCACGGCGCTGGACTACTTCCACACGGAGC